AAAATAAATAAACATGTCCCTGGCTTCTGTCAATTCTGGGAGGTGCCTCCCTGCTGCCATTGGGGAAACTGGGAGACAGCCTACTATGGCAGGAGAGCATTTGTGCGAGACGTTGAGCCCCGCGCTTACCCTGAGGGGAGTGGTGACATTAACCACATCGCCCAGAAGCATCGCAAGCTCGTAACAAGGAAATTATTCTTTACTGCGCGAGCAGAAAAAAATTGCCGTCTGGAGACGGCAACCCGCAGATGCTGCAGTGCCGTCCGTCCGTTTTTTTACTACGGGCGGACGGCAAGAGGTTAAACTTTATCATTGACCAGTATATTAACATTATTAACGGGCCTTTTATTTTCTTTTAATCTTCATTCATTTGCTTCCTTCAGGCACCAGTCATACCATTGTGTTGCGTTACCACACATGTGTTAACACTCATTATGAAGATACAGTGGGGGGAATTTATCAAAACTGGTGCAGACAGATTCGAGAGCATTTGCCCATGGAAACCAATCAGCATCTCAGGTAAGATCTAAAAATGAGAGATAGAAGCTGATTGGTTGCAGTTCAAATCTGCTCCAGATTTTGCCTGCTCCGGTTTTGATAAATTCCCCCCAGTATGTCACCAGCACGCCGAAGTAATGTATCCAGAGAATGTCTTTACTGATGTATTATACTGTATGTCAATAAAGACTTTTTGGATACATGACTTAGGGGTGCTGGTGACATACTTTTTCTTCTTGGATTCAAACGCTGCCATCCGTAGCCACTTCAGCGCCCATCTTCAAGGGACATACTGGTCAGCAGTGCGGTGGGATATTAATTGGATCCAACACTCATTTTGTCACACGTTAACTTACGTCGCATTAAAGCAGCCCATTACTTTGCATGGAGGGAGCTGGAGAAGCTACTTGGGTGAGTGATAAAATGTCTTCAACATCACCGAACAAGTCCAGTTCAATGTGACTAACTACTACGAACTATTTCCACATTTTGCTATCATTGCGATCCTTGATATTGTGTCATTTAGGTAAGCAATACAAAAACCATTTATTTAGCTCTTATTAGAGGATTTCAGGGCAGATAATTAGCCTAAACTAATTTCCACCCTATAATTTACCCAAATCTGCAACCTAACAGAGAGCTTCTTCACTCTTTATAAGCAAGTGATGTCAGTAGTTTTTACAGGACATTGGTTCAGTGTAAAAAATGTCTGCTGTAAGTTACCCACAGCTCAAATTTTGGCAATTCAGCCAAAATTTGACTTTTCTATGGACTGCTCTTGCTCACCAAGAAGTTTTGGGTATTCCTGCCCACGAGGGAGAGTGGCAACCCCTTATAACGGCCACAGCAGGTATAGAGATTCAGAGAACGCAACAATCTCACCAATAGAGTCCCTGGGAGATATAACAAATTGCACCATGGTTTAACCATCTAGTATCTACCAGAAATGAAATATACGTAATGAGTGGACTGACACTCATTAATATTACATCAGTCCAGGATCTAATCTTCACTTTGTGACAGGCCAGATTATGACTAATACACAACAAAATGTCCTCTAGAATTTGTTAGATCTTGGGTGTGCTGTGCACATCCTGTAATATAAATGTATATAGCACGTGTGGTATAGGCGGCAGCTACAGCATGTTAGTCACGCTAGGATAGAACAGTGCTAGTAGGTATCCAGCTCTAATAAATCTTCCACATCTGGAGGAATAATGTAATGACAGAGTAGCCAATATGAATACTTTTTTTTATTTACCTAAGTACACATACAGTAATACAAAATACCGTATATTTGTTCCTTCTGGATATGACAAGGGATCCATGGTCAGTTTTTACTTGTATGTGGTGCTCCTTTAAAGCCCATTCACATCTGTCTGGTCTGTTTGGTGCGTTAACGCATGAATGGGCTGCCACCGCACCAGATCTAAAAATGGACATGCAACATATCTTCAGTGCACCATTACATATAGTGCTTTACTGTGATTTTGGATGCCCTGCAATGCTTGTTCGCCAGAGGTGGTTTGTGGTGTCATTAAAAATGAATGGCACTCCAACATACTAACATGTACATAGTGAATTGTCATGTGTTGCAGTTGCAGTAACGTGCATGTTATTGCAATGTATCATAGTTCTTAAGCAATGGAGTTTATTTATTAAAGGTGTTCTCTTTGAGTAATTTTTGTGTGCAGGGGAATTTAAAAAAATTAATCTGCTCCACGTATAATTGTCTTCACTTGATGTTAGCTTCACTTTATTCGCTTTGCTAAGTAAACATTCTCTACTCCTTTAGTAAATGAATCCCAATGTGTAGTTAGGTAGATGAGTCACATAACTATCCTTTTAAATCAAAGTGATGTGTTGCTGCAATTCAGAGCAATTTAAATACTCAGAGGATTATTCACCTTTGAGCCGAAGGATATAGCCATAGCTTCGGCTAATCCTTTAGCTCACTTCGGCCGCCTGAGCCCTTTGGTTCAGAACACAATCAGCAGCCAAACAGCTCAGATGAGCCAAACACATTTACTTCGGCTCGACTGAGCTGAACACACACCTGACACGGGGAGAACGGTATGCCGATGCAGACCATGCTCCCTGCAAATGTAAACAAATTAAAAAATAAAAATGGGGTAGGATCCCCCTCTCGATCCATACCAGACCCTTTAGGACTGGTAGGAATGTTAGAAGGGACTCCAAGATGAAAAAAAAAAAGTGTTTCGGGGGTTCCCCCAAAAGTCATACCAGGCCCTTTTAGTCTGAAAGGAATTTTAAGGGGGAACCATCCACAAAGAATGTGGGATCCCCCCGTAAAAGTCCCAACCAGACCCTTAATCTGAGCACAGGCCTGGCAGGGCAGGAAAGGGGGAGACGAGAGAGCGGACCCCCTTCCATGCGCCATACCAGGCCACATGCCCTCGGCATTGGGAGGGTGCTTTTGCAGGTGCCCCCCCCCCCCTACCTGGAAAAGCACCTTGTCCCCATGCCAGTGAGGACAAGGGCCTCTTCCACAACAACCTTGACCTGGTGGTTGTGGGGGTCTGTGGGCAGGGGGGCTAATTTGCATCTGGGTACCCCTTTAATAAAAGGGGCTCCCAGATGCTGCCCCCCCTTGTGAATGTGTAAGGAATACTTGTACCCCTACTCATTTATAAAAGGTTAAAGAAAAATGTAAAGAAACCAGACTTTTAGAAAAAAAATCCTTTCATTGAAAAAAAAAAATGTTTTTGACTATTCCTTTAATTGGAAAAAAAAGGCCAAAAGAAAATCAAACAAATGATCCAGCGAAGTATTTCAGGGTCAATCACGACACCCGCCCGCACGAGACGAATTCCCACTGCAAAATGAACAATTTGACAGATGCCGGCAGAATGTAAATAGATAGGCGCAGCTAGCGGTGACATCACCGCTGGCTACGCCAATCTATTGACATTCAGTTGGCATCTGTCAAATTGCTATTGCAAGTCCTGGCCAAATGAAAACTAATGGACAGAGTCGGCCATGACTTCATAGCTAATTCCGCCCATTTGTTGTCATGCAATGACAGGCTACTTTCCCCAGGTCATTTGGGGACTGTATGACAAAAAAATGGGCGGAGCCAGCCGTGACATCTTGGCCAACTTCTTCCATTTGTTTTCATTTGGCCGAGACTTGTAATAGCGACTTTTGCGGGGGACCCCACGCATTTTTTTTACATTTTTAACTTGGGTGTCACTCCTAACAGACTTAAACGGTCTGGTATGGATCGGAAGGGGGACCCCACGACGGATTTTTTTAAAATTTCTTTTGTTTGTTTATGAAAATAGGGACGAACGGTAGCGAGTGAACTACCCTCTCGCTCAGCCGATCCAGATGTTGAGTCGAACGGGTTCTTCACTTTGGCTAAGCTGAACTGATCGGCTGAACCGGAGTGAAGTGAAGGGAGCCGAAGCCAGCCGATGTACGGCTGTTTTCAGCCATACAGGGCTGAAGTGAATAGCCGAGTGACGTTCAGGTCCCTTCACTTCGGCAGCTTCCCTCACTCTCCATTCACAGTTGCACATCTGCATTTTCATAAATTTTTTAGCATGGTTATATTGCACCAAAGAAAACGTCTGCACCATTCTCCATGTTGCACAGAAGCACATTGCATAGGCGTGAAAGGATCCCGTAGAAAATAATGGGATTCTTTTTGCCATGCATTGTTGTGAAACAGACGATACGCTTTAACCCGCACAATAAAAAAAATTAATAGGACTTTTTCCTGAGATCTCACAAGATTGCACAAACTCTCGGGAAAAAGCATAATTATTCTTATTTTGTTTTGTTTTACACGGACCTATGAGAATTCCCTGGGAAGGCACTTGTAGACTGTGAGGCCCTGGCTACGTCACCCAATACTGGGAAGCGGGATCATAAAAAATGTAAATGACCAAAAATGTTTTAATTTAAATTGTTAATAAATTATGAGTAAATGATTTAATAAATCTTTTATTATGTTTACAGTTGTTTAGGACTCAGCATGCAGAGCTTCATGCACTGGGGATTGATGTATTTAAAATGTCAGCTTTAAAATGTGTATTTTTAATATTACCTGTAAGTCCCTTACTGTTCGCCTTCTTAGTTTACGGGTTCTTAATACAAGAGTTTCAGAATCAGAAATTTGTAATGCAAGGGATATCTTTTCCAAATCACTGTGCACAGCGCAGAGGTACTATATAAAAGCCTATGTAATTTTAGTATAGTCAGAGAAGAGCGGCACTGAGTAGGATTGGAGTTACACAAGCGACGAGGCTTAGAAATGCATATTCAGCCGGGCTGATATTCATGAGGGGCCAGACATAATTGCCTTCAATAAAATTTCAAAGGCCAATCAAGATGCAGCATAAGTTGTTAAAGATTTTGGGAAGAGTTGCCCTACTTAATGAAGTGAATCATCGCCTTGACTTCCTAACCTACTTAACTACACACAGGATGCAAAGCAGATAATAACTGTACTTCCTCCATTTCAGTGTTAATCTTACCTGTAAATAGATTGCTAGGAGCATCGATTGTCTTTGTCTGCTGTTTACTGTCACCTTGCTGAACAGTGACCATTTCATCCACAGGAACAGAGACTGACTGACCTAAGAAAGAGAAAAGGGAATTAGAAGATTTTCACGCATTATACCTGCTCCGGAACATAACTGACCATACACTTATCATTTTTAGCACCCCACGGCTGAAGAAAAAACACTGGAGTCCCCCATCCACACTAAACAGATAAAGGAATCACCTCCACCAGGCTATGGTATTGCACACCTACCACTGTCAGAATAACTGAACAGTGACTGCAGTTGATTGAATAGTTATTGTTTGGATAAGAACTTTTAAACAGGCTTTTTGACAAAAGTCAAATTGAAAAATCGACTTGTGTCGAATGGAGGGGTGTCAACGGGGCCATGCACTGCTCAGATGCCAGCCAAGTCAGCAGGACTCGGGCAAAATTCAAGCAGTATACGGGCAGCTTTAGATGAACAAGGAGGAAGTAAACTTGTAATTTCTGAGAACAGGAAGATGCTGAGATAAAAATTTGTATTCTAATAATCAATTCTGTCAACTGGTTATATAGGAAATATTAAAGTATATGTACAGCCCAAACTTTTCATTTTTTACAAATCTTTATTTCTGGCTGGCCCACGCTGATGAGATTCACACTCACTACTTGTCCTGTAGGTCAATGTCAACGAGACTGAAAGTGCAGGGAAATCCAAAATTGTACAGTATCAACGCTAAATATATGGATGAAGGGAATTCCCCTGCCGGCTATTGTAGTCATCAGCTATCTAGACCCACAGCAGCTGAATGCCTGGTTGGATGCAGTCACCATTTAGCTGATCATTTTCCACCCAGGTCATTCGACAAAGGTTAATTAAAAAATTGACTATACTGATCATTACACTCAGACAAGGATGATACGTAGGTAGGAGGGGGTGGGGGAGGGGGGCCCAACTTTTATCTTCTTGAATGATCACCTGATGTTATCCTGAGGGGTAAAAGGGGCATTACAAGGAAATCTACTGAAGACTTAAGAATAATCTGGGGTTTCCATTTCCAACCCTAAGTAATGTTAAAGTGAGTGAAGTCTTCCAGTTTGACTGGACAATGTGTGGTTTAAATGCGGTAATAAACTGCTGGATCCCACATGTAATTTGACAGCCCATTATAACATTCAAGATCAGTAATAGTACCTTAAGTACCGGTACCATGGATTGTACTGGTATCCGTACCACGGATTGGTACCATTGACTTATGTATTCTGGACCGCGCAGCTGATGGTTGTCTGACAACACTGTCATCTGTTTTCATCCAGGGACAATCAGGGGCGTTTCTAGCATACTTACTGCCTGAGGTGGGAGGGATGTTGATAGGATGCTGGTGGTGCATACTGATGGCGCTCTGGCCGGCGTCCTGGTGGTGCACTGCCCAGCTCTGGCTGGCGCCCCACCCAGCTTACTGGTTGCCAGTAGCTGGATGGATGCCAGTCAGAGTGTCCTAGGTTGCTAAGAGCTGGGACAGGAGATTTGTATGGAACTTACACATCTTCCTGCCTGGCTCTTAACAACCTGGGACACTCTGGCCGGAAAGGAGTCCTGTCTGCCGCACCCCTATGAAACCCAAAGAGATGCCGGCTGATGCAATAGCCACAGGCTGCCTCATTATAGGGACAGCCCTGGGCACATCAGCTATTCCAAACCGCATGTAATTGTATCATGTACGATTACAGATAAACTACCGCTGACAGAAGCAGCTGCTATTACTCCCAGAATGCCACGTGTGAATGTAGCCTAACAAGGCAAATAGAAATGCTGACACCACGGATCCTTGGTTGTGCTTTATCCTATTTGCTTTATATTTTGGGTCAGTTGTGTATTTCCTTTAATAATGCTGGCCTCGATATTTCTGCAGATGTGTATCACTCTCACAAGGCATTTGTTTGTTCCTTTCAATGCAGTGTTTACACATGTGGGTGTCTGTCCTAAATTGCTGCTTGCTCTCACCACCATAAAATACACTGTTCTATTCAATAATTAAATCTACAGACCTGGATTAATGATCAACCAGAGCTGACAATAGTAAATCAACGCCCTGTGCTCAGCACTATTTACAAGGTGGACAAAAGCAGAAAACACGGTTAAAGGAAATCTTACATTTAAAATGTTTTTGAACTTATAATCAGAATGCTGCAGTCAGAGAAAGTGAACAATGATGGCTTCTGAGACAGACAAGTTTTAGGGCCCAGTTGCATTGTATTGCGTTAGGGTAATGTATGCAATCTAATGTTCTTTTTAATATATAGTATTTGTAAACTTGTTCTGGGTTAGTGACTCAAATTTATTCAAGCCAGAGGGTCACCTGAAAGCCAGGCAACTTGCATCTGCAAAGTGATAAGACACAATGGCAGCCCCCTCTCAAGAACAGTTACCTATTAAATTGTAGACCTCATTTTTATGCAATAGTTATTGGTGCAAAAGATCAGGATTAGCATTACGGGAAGGAGTGGGCCAGTTTTTGTAAGCTTAAATTTATATAAGAGAACAACTGAACCTGATATAGAAATTACAGAGCTCTAGCTAGATGTAGCCACTTACAATCTGATTGGGAAATGTTTGTTTCCCTAGTTGAGCTTACTCAGAGGAAATATGATTGCTCAGAATTAATTTTCCAAGTTGATGGCTATTGTTTCCCCAGAGACAAACTCTCCCCCCAGTCACCCTCCCCCCCATAGGTGCAAAAAGAAATGCTCACCCAATGCATGTTTGTAAAAAGATTGTAAGAATTGCCTGTATCACCCTCAGCAAGCAATCAGCATTACCACTGCATGCCTTAAGGCACATTACAACATGAAAGAGAGATGTGAACTGGTTGTGTTGGGCACCCAAACGCCTTAATTTTGGACAAGATAATAGATAAAGGCCTAGTTTGATGCAGAGTAGTAGTTCGCTGACACGCATACGATTCACAACATGGTTATACACACACAGCAAAGACCAGTATGACAGACACAAGGGTGCACCTCTTAGCAGCTTTGGCCTTCCAAAGTGTGCTGCGTGGCATCCTTCGTTCACCATTAATGAATGATGGTGGTGGGTGTCATGGCATCAAAATCTCATGCTGCTTCTCTTCTGACATACTTATAGGTGGAGTGATCAGCGTACTTTTACACTGATCACACCACATAGGTCTCTAGGCTTTGTACTCGTCCTGTTGACATTCAGAGTAGGAGGGTATTGGGGTTTATTCCAGCCACATGTGTGGTGTGAAGATATTTACTCATTTTTAGTTATAGAGTGTTCATTTCATAATAGCATAAGTAACAATGTGTAGCTTTGTTTTCAGTAGTTATACATGTAGAATAGTGACAATAAGAAAGGTTTCATATATACTTGTTTTGGAACTAGAAACTGTCTTTGAGTTTCTATACACAGGACACCGCTGCTGAAGCCTGATAAGCTTACGCACGAAGAACCAAGAAAGAAGAACATAACAACCCCACATCCAAGGACAAACGGCAGAAGCAGATAACCAGGACGACTCAGTGTCTCAAGGCTGAAACCACAATGACTTGCCTACGTGTCAAAGAAGAATTCGAGAGGTGAGGGCAGATGCGAAAGAGGAACTTCACCCAAGACAGAGGGAGAAGCTGGGGGCGAAGAAGAGGGCTATAAGAGACTGCGGGAGGGAAAGGGATTTTCAGAGTTACACAGACTGGTGCCTGGGACAGTCCCTACACATGTCAAGTCTGTTGTAACCTCCGCATATGCGTTACAATAAACCTTGATTGGTTCAGCTAACTGAGTCTTCTGATTCCGTGGGAGAATTCTCCCGACAGTGGTCATGCATTTGGCTGCTCCTTCCATCTCAGCCTGCATGCATGGAGAGGAGAAAACTGCTTTAACACCAATAGTTTGCACTGAGATGCATTGAAAGCCCACATGCAGCATTTTTCTTGCTGCTTTGAGCACTTATGCCAGTTGAATGGTGTCCCTCAAAAAAAGTCAAAGCAGGGTTTTCCAATACATCTAGAGTAAAGGCGCTCTTATGGCTATTTTTAAGTAAAAAAAATTGCGCAGTCACTAAAGGTAAAGACACCATACAGTAAATGTGTGGGAGCTTACACAGTCAAAAAGTTAATGAGCAATCCTATAACAGCACAATATGATAAGAAGGATATTAAAGTCAAATTAAACCCTTATCTTTTATTAATCTAATGTAGCCAGGCTAGCTAAAAAGTAGCAATGAGTAAAGCTGGCCATACACTGCTCAATTTTTAAACAAATATTTGAGCTGTGTTGGCATCACCTGGCTCCTCAAAAGTTGTTTTTTTTCAGCTGCTGAATACAATAGCTGGCAGGGAAAATTCCTTAATTCACACTGTTTCGTGGATGGGGGAATGGACTAAGTTGTAAAGGTGTATGGGCAGCTTAAGTCTTTTTAATGTATTATGATGTATTAATGCTGCATCCCTAAACCGAGCTGCATGAGTTCGCAACATGCTGGAAGTCCAGACCACTGTACCTTGTGTGAGAGCAGCAGTCCGCACCTCCTGTGTCACCTCCAGCGTTCCAACACAACCTCTGCACAGTGTTTCAATCAACAAATCTGTGCAGGGAGCGTGAACGCTGTTGGAGCACTTTGCAGGAGGCATGGCAGATCGCTAGAGATCCAGACAGATACGTTCTGTGTGACAGCTTCATTATTGGTCTGCAGTAATAATACATCATAATAAAGAGCAATCCAGCCAGACAGTTAGCATTGTCAGAAGGAGAAATCAGCAAAAGCAACCTCTATGCTTCTGGAAACTCCAATAAAATGAAAACAGTGACCATAAAATGGGGGTTGGGCTTTATCATGATTGCACTGGGAGACCTAGTGTTATTTTTCCCCTGCTTGTACTGAACTATGTACTGTGTTCACATATCTCTATGTTTTGAATTGTCATTAAACTTCGAATAAAGAAACTTATAAGGGGATAAAGATGAATATGGAACATATAAGGGTACATTTAGAGTAAGTTAAAAACAGGGAAATATTAGAGCTTTTCTAAAAGCACACACCTTTTTCCGAATTATTCAGATCATAAAAAGCAAACAGTGTATGTTCAATTTTAAAAAATATATTCACACTTTGATACAATATACACAGCACAGTAACTGTCCTTCCTATTTTGTTTTTGCTTGCGCTAGTTTTCTAAACATTTCTCAACGTTGTCAAAATGACCTCCCGTAGTAACCTGTAAAATAATAGATAGTGAATGAGGTTATATTTGACCATGGATGCACTCTTATTAAAATCAATCCGTTGAATGCGGTATTTCCCAACCACACGAAAACCACATGTTTGTTTTACTGAGTGTATAATTTGAAGGAAACCTACAATTCAAAGAAGTTGGTCCCCCCTCGAAAACGTATAAGATGACCTGTCATACTCACTTTTTCGTCTCCATGTTCGTTTTTTGCTGTAGGCCCAGTTCAGAGTGTCCTGTTCGAGCGTCACTGAAACCTCAGCTCCTTGTAACCGCAGTAAGCACATGATATTTTCTCTCTCCATTTTCCTTTAGAATGAACCGCAGGACAGAATAATATTATGCTGCAGGTGTAAGAGACAAGACATAAACCTCACTCTCTACATATATTTGAATTGGATTTTAGTTACTGCCTGCAGTCTCAAAAGCCATTGTCCTGATGGCTCTACCGGTGTCTCAGAGCCCAGCTCTGTGTCTAGTGTTGCCTGTCCTCTCAGGCTCCAGATTAAAATGTCACTGATCTCTACGTCTTCCCAGTGCTGCCTAACAGGTTCTACCTCCTGCAGCCTCCTCCTCCTCCTCCTCCTCCAGCCTAGTAAAGGAACAGGACAAACATTTTGTGCATGACGTTCACTAGGTACAGCTCTCTATTGTTTACCCCAAACAAGGACAATGTGTAAGGAGATAATTGAATGTGTATTGGGATGCGTGTAACTGTGATGGCGACAACAGAGACCACAGTGTTTGTCCTTAGCAGTGTGGGAAAAGCAGGTTATAACTGAGGAGGAACTGTACATGACTTAAAGTGACACTAAACTCTGAAGGTAAATCTTAAAAAAGTAATCAAGTTCCCTAACTATTAACAAGAATTTAGTTTATTTGTGCATCATTCAGCTGTAGATCCTCAAAACATCTCTGAATTGGTGCTGACACCGCTCCAAGCTCACTCCCGTGATGGACTACAATCTTAGGTTTACTTTACTAATTTGTATTGAGATTGTAGTTCATCACAGGAGCGAGCATGAAGTGGTGGCTAATTTACAACACACGTTGGGAACATGGGGAATAAAAGTAGCCCCCATCCAGAAAGAAGGACAGTGTCAGCACCAATTCAGAGATGATTTGAGGATCTATAGCTGAGTGATACACAAATAAGATACATTTCTGTTAACAGTTAAGGTAATTTAATGCATTTTTTAAAGTGTAACTTCTGAGTTTAGTGTCACTTTAAGTTGGCCATACCCCAGTACAATATTGTTCGAAAATGGCACCATCCCAAAAAATATATAAAAATACAACTTAAAATTCAGATCCAATCTAAACAAAATGAACAGAAACCTAATTGGTGCGAGTTCAGCATTGGCCTAACCCTGAACAGAAGATAATAGTCAGAAAAAAACACACAATTTGGAGTTAAATGTTTTGTCACCTAATTCTGGTCATACACGTGTCAATCCAATAATTTAATGAAACCTTGGTTTGAATATTTTGATCAAATCTATTATTTATCAATTGTTTTTCACCACCATTTCAATTGCTTTCAACCAATTGTATGAGATGGCATGATAAGGCAGTAGGATGGGGTGAAAATGTCCTATTGTTTTCTTACCCAATTCTTTTGTGTATGGAACAACTCATTCTGAAACAATCACTTGTACTTTTTGTTTTCTTTTTTTACAATTACTATTCCACATTGTGGTGTTGATTAAAACCATATAATCAAAAGGGCAATTGCATGATGCTCATTTGGCTTGTATTAGAAATATCTCTGTCCAAATCTATTTACTGTACGAACATTAACAGGAACTGTTATTATCATAAGACCTTTTGTTATTTTCCACAATAAAATAGTTTTTTCAATTCAATGTTCCATACATTTAGTTAATGTTTTTACATATTTCTTTAGATGTTTCACCAAGCCAGAACATTAAATCGGTAAATGAACGCCTTATTATGTGCTCTAATGTGCACTGCTTAAAAAATGTAATCTCACTCCCATTCTCATAAACATTTGCAAGGTGTTAAATGAGAGTAGATATATAATAAATATAGTCCCAGATGCAAGGTGTGAAATGCACAGCTATACTGTTTTACACGGCACATAGACAACATTCAAGCAACACCACACATGCCCCAATCTATATTGGAAAGAACAAAAACATTTCCAAACTGTCCAATTATTTTCTTGATCTAATCTTGAAAATATAGATAGAAAATGTCTGCACATAGATCAGTTTTCCAAACGGTTGAATTATGAAAATGATGGCACTGAAGCATGCACTGAGCGTTTTTAAGCATTAAATGTCATGTTCTGACAAATTTCTCTTTCATTTGTCCAATACTGGAATTGCCAAATGTTAACAGTTAGGGGCATTTTTAGGGCCTGTGCCAATGGACTTTGAGCTTGTACCAGTGGCATAAATTTGGGACACTTAGAACTAAGGACATTCAGAATTAATTGACAGGTGCATTTGACCTACAGTTGACCTCCTTTGGACCTGCAGTTGACCTGCTTCAAGCATTTGGGGTTTTGATTTTTTTTTGCATTTTCAAAGATTTGTATGGGAACGCAAAACCCATTTGAAAAGACAGAAGCCCATTGACACTGGTCTATAGGTTAAAGTATATCTCTAGTCAAAACCTTTTATTTTAGTTTTTGGTACTGTGAAGGGTTAGACCCTCTGTTAAGTTTTTATTGATGTTTGTATCCCTGTTGGAGATATTCAACCTTCTATTTGCATTGGTGACCATTGTCACAAATTAAAGAAACTGAACAGAAATTCTAAATTTTAGAGCTGCCCACAGAACAAGACATAGGGTGACACCTTGCAATAGGGACACCTGTTTTTGGAACAACTGTCTAAGGGGGGGAACTCCCCTCACTTTGGGAAATTTCCTCCAACTTCCAGTTGTGTTTTTGTGAACGGAACTGAAAACTGAGCAGCATGATATGTGTAGTATAGAAATCCCTACAGGTAGGCTTCTAAAGGTCCCACTACTTCAACCAGCATACTGCTTAGCGGTGGTCAGGGACCGAAAGTTTTAAAGGACCAGAAACAAATTATAAGGATATGAATTTTTGAAGCAGCTTTTCTTGGTAGCCATAAAGGAAAGTGTTACATACACAGGAAAGATTCAGCGAGTTCCTCTGTAATATATAATCAAGGATGTCAATATCAAAAACTAAAAGAATCAAAGAAAGGCTTTTGGTTAAACAGGTAACTGAACATCTGAGAGGTACAGAGAGGCTTGTGTTTCCCATGTACACTATGTATTGTATTTCCATGTGCTAAGTGCTGACTCTATTCACATCCTGTTAAAGTCAATTCTTAGCTGACATCATTGAGGGGGGTGCCAGTATTTCTCCTATTGTCCCTGAGCAGCTGAGAAGTGTGAACAGGACATCCATTGTTCAGCTCCGCGCAAACCTCCATATTGCCAGCTAAATGGTGACGTCAATGTGGCACCTGGAAATATACAAAACAAACAGAAATGTCAAAGGTATTCCTACTAGCCATGTCCTTGTTCTTATCTGTATGGACTATTACTCCTTGTCAGTAAGTGCTTTTTGTGTTATTGAACACAAAAGACTCAAAATATTATTCATTTACCTTTTAAATATCCCTAAACCCTATCAATAAATCTCATATAAGCTTTACCATGGTAATGTAATTTTAAAAGTTGTTCTTAATCTTTTTAAATCTGCATCAGAAATTACAAAAATAACTAGTGATCAAAGGAAAGTGTCTTCAAATTACGCTCCTGCATTGCCACCTTGTCCTGTGCAGCCCTCGTTCAGACTAAAAGTGGCTTTGTAAACACACATTACACAGGCGTGGTCATGGTATTAGAAAGCCAGTCCAGAGCAATGATTTACAGTGGATGCTGAAGCGAGTGCATGTAGACATGAAGTGGCTGAAAAGGCCAGAGAAGAAAAAAAATAAAAGGTAAAATCAGAAATTTATGTAAAAAAAATCATGGATAAAATTTGATACACAGAACTTAAACAGATGGCACGTCAACCAATTGGGGTTAATGTCCACTCCGAAGGCAGCCGAGTGAATAACCCAGCCGAAGTGAAGTGAGCCGAACGCTGTTCGGCTATTCACTTCTGGCTTGTATGGCTGATACATCGGTCAGCCGAACATGCTTTGCTGTACTGGCACTGCAAGAGGCTGATAACAAGCTAACTCAGGTACTTACACTGCTTGCGTTTAAAAAAAACATTTATTATCTATTGAGCTGTGTTAATATGTGTCTGTTCTGTTTGGCAGGAATGCCGCTTTAGTTATACAACAAAAAGGAGATTGTGTCTGAAGGTCACGACAGACAAGGTTTGGTTGCAGCTCTGCAAGTCTAGTTAGCTGCCTGAATCAGCATTTTCTGGACTGTATGACCCAGTACTAGTACAAACCAGTGTAAAGTAATGCCTGATAATGATTACAGCTACTCACCTTTCCTGTTCCATTATTTCAAGTGTTCATTTATTTCCAGGAAACCTAAAAACTAAAGTAGCATGAAGTACAAAACCCCATGGCAAGCAAATCTAGGGTATGTATCCATAGACCTTATGATTTCATTATGCATTTAGGTCAAGTTATATATTGTGTGTGGAAACAAACAATAAAATCTGAGTGTGGCGAAACCCAGTCAGTGCATTCAATCCAGTGGCTTAACTATCAACAGTGACCCACGCAGTCGCTATGGGACACGGGTAAGAGGGGGGTCCGGTCAGGAGGTCGGGTCCCAGCAGCGGAGGAGGAGCAGGAGGCCGGGGCCCTGCAGCGCTGGTTCACCAGAGGAGGTCAGGGCCCTGCAGCACTGGTCTGGCAGCGTAGAAGGAGGAGGAGGCCGGGGTCCGGTGGCTGCAGTAAAGGAGGAATCCAGGATCCAAGCAGCGTGGGTCCGGTGGAGGAAGCAGAGGCCCAGCAGCGGTTGGCTCGGGACAGACAGGTAAGAGGAGTGCACATGTGCAGGGAAAGGGACCCTGACCAGCCCGCCTGACCCCATAGAGAGTCTCAGGTGGGCTGTGCAGGATCTATGGTTGGCTCTGCAGGGTATTCTCTGATGGGCTGTGCAGGGTCTCAGGTGGGCTGTGCGGGGTTTGCAGGGTCACTCTCAGGTGGGCTGTATGGGGTCTCTAGTATGTGTGAGGCCCCTGAAGGATCTCAGGTGGGCTCTATGGTGAGCTCTGTGGGGTCTTTGGTATGTGCGGGGTCTCAGGTGGGTTTTTTAGGATCTCAGGGTGGGCTCTCTGGAATGTGTGTGTGTGTCAGGTGGGCTCTGCAGGATCTCAGGTGGGCTGTCGGGGGTCCCAGGTGGGTTCTGCAGGATCACTCTCAGTTGAGCTGTGTGGTTTCAGGTGTACTCGGCAGGGTATCTGAAATGTGCTGGGTCTTAGAAACGCTCTTTGGGGTCTCTGGTGGGCTCTGCAGGGTCACTCTAAGGTAGACTGTGTGGGGTCTCTGGTATGTGCAGGCTCTCAGGTGGGCTG